CGAGGCCGGCTGCGTCCCGCGGTGTTTCCCGCCATCGCTCCCACCTGCCCCTCCCCTGCCCGGATGCAGCCATCTCGGAGCTTGTTTGCTCCCGGCTTAGTGGGTGCGCGCCGCTTTCGTGACACATGAGTTTAAAGGGGGCGTCCCTGGAAGACCGAGCCCTCGCCCGTCTTTCTCGGCCCCCACCGCAGCTGCACCCCCGGCTTACAAGCTCAGAGAGCCCGGGCACCGCAGCTCTGCCCGCCCATCTGGGGAGTCTAAAAGAGCTCTCCAGTTTCCTCGCATCTGATTTAACCACGCAACTAAAAAGTACATTCAAAGAATATTTCACATCCATTATTTTCACACTCTATCCACAAAACGACCAAGCGCCATGATGCACTGCGGAGACAACTAGTTATACATTGATTTGGAATCCGAAGTTCCTCTTTGGGGTCATGATCGGAAATTCTTTTGATTTTTTTTTTTTTTCCATTTTATCCACTTAAAACAATCGTTCTATAAGCTGCCTAAAATCGATCACATTTGTATCCTGAGAAAGGCGTGCCCCAGATTAATGTCTGTATAAGAGTTGGAAAGAACTAAAGTGCCAGAAATAAACTGCCCGAAGTGACTACATTAAATAACTCAGCAACCACCACTTCAACAAGCCCCTTCGACGGGCCCTCTCTGAGGAGCGTCTCTCTCCATGCCACCGGCCCCTGGGCCCTGCCCAGAGTTCCAGGATCAGGGTACACACACCCTCAGACGCACAGACACGGCCAGTCACACAGACAGCAGCAGCAGCAGCAGCAGCCGGCATCATTTCATTTAGTTTATTAGACAAAATATATGATTTAGACAAGTTCGCGGACGCGCTATTTACAATCTGAAATCACTCTATATACAGAAAGAAAAAGACAGAGAGAAGACACAAGCACGTGGGGGCATTTACCGAACCCGATAATCAACCGGAGCCTGGTGACAGCCACCCGAGCTGCAGACAGGCCTGGCCGCCTGG